TAAAAATTGTGTTCTCTTAATTTTATATTTAATTAAAGCACAGCTAATTATAAATTTTGCGTGATTCAGTGCTTATAATTAATCATTACGTTTTCCCCTCCTGATACATAGAAAGCCTTTTAAAATAATCCACCCCCTTTAAATGTTACAGATACAAAAGCCATTGTCTGATGTTATATTCAGAAGCGCTTTATTAAAAATCGACCAGGAAATAATGTTTTTTTGTCTGAAGTGGAAGGAAAATAATTCATGAGTTTAAACATTTCTATAAATAAAAATCCTAAAACTGTGACATGGATTAATATTTAGCTCCATGAAAAGAACATGCTGTGTAGAATGCCCAATGTTTTCTCGTTTTTTTAGAACCAAACCCTGCTGTAAACTTTGCCTCAACTTTCTCCCTTACCTGTGTGCTGAGCTAATTTTTCTCTGCATTCACTGAATGTCCGCGTTAGTACTGAGATTAAATGACACACAGATTAACTCAGGGTTCTTCTGACAGCAGCTGGTTTCACTAGAGCTAATTTTGTGATGTTAGAACAATGAAAAGTTCCTTTTTTCATTCCTGCTGCTGAGGAAATCCCTATGAATCAATTTAATATTTGTGATTTTACTAATGCTGCTATCACTTCCCAATTCAGTTCATTCAAAACTATTTTAGAGAATCCAAAGGGATATTAAATCTTTTCTAACTCATGTATATATGAATATATATGTTGATGCTGTAGGCAGGTGGGATCTTCTGGAGTGGTTTGTCTGGCAGGGGATCTGGAGAAGACTCTGACTGAAGAAACTTTTTTGTTTTTTACCAATATTCCGAAGAGGATGCTCACCGTTGTCCATAGCTTTCTTCACTTTAAGAAGAATTGTTCTTTGTAAAGTCCTTTACAGAGCCCTCCTTATTTATCAGCTTTTAAGCTTCATTAAGTAGTTTGATCATCAGAAGGACCTCAGCTTTCTTAGGAATCCAGTCTGCTCTGTCCATTCTTGCAGATGACTTCACTTACCTCCAGTCCAGTCAGTTGTCCAGGTGAACACCAAGACATATACTCTCTTCTGTAACCTCCACTTCCCATGAAGGTTTGAAAATGTTGACTTGTTTTATTTATGTTTAAAATAAGTAGATTGTTTCCACACCATGCCACAAACTGTCCACCAGCTCCCCGTTCCCAGCTTCTTTTCCATCCCTGATCACCCAGTGATTGCAGAACCAGCTAAGTATTCCTGGAGATGACAGGACTTTCTGGTACTGGAAGTTGTGGGTGTATAGAGTACAAATACTTTGTTACTGTACTTAAGTACACTTTTTAGGTAGCTATACTTTACTCCATTACTTATTTTTCTTCCTACTTATGACTTAAAAAAAAAAAAAAAAAAAAGACTGTTTACATTTCCCTTTCCTTTCCTTTTCCTTTTAATATATTTATATATATTTTTTTTTATTTTTCATTTTTTATTTTTATTTATTTCACGGTAGCTGATATGGAAGTCCCAAATCTCATTGAATCCGTTGCAGAATATAATGACAATAAAGGCTTTTTGACTTTGACTTTGACTTTTCTACTCATTACATTTTCACACACCTATCTGTACTTTCTATTCCTTATATTTTTAAAACAAACGTTACTCGTTACTCTTGGCTTCGGTTTAATGTTTCTAAATATTTATTTCACGTCATGTGCTCCATCCAATGCAGATCATTGGCTTCATCCACATCTAGTGAAAACTATTGTGATTGGATGAGTCATATAACGCAAACACTCATTGGTTAGCTAAAGGAAATCATCAGAAGCAAGCAGGTGTTCTTCAAACTGCAAAAGTGAATTGTCTATCCCATGCTACAATGTAGGATTCAGAAAAATATGTTGAAATGTCTGAAAGGTCGGACAAAGGTCAGAGCTTATCGGGATATGGAGACCAACAAGACCTCCCTCATCCTTGGCCCTATCTCTAAGAATTTTAGAAATAGTCGAAAAATTGAGCTTTCAATTCATATAGTGACATCTGGCTGTTTTTTTTCAAAGGTTACTTTACACTTTTAAACTTTAAGTAGTTTTTGGAGCACATACTTTTTCACTTTTACTTGAGTAAAGAGGTCAAGCTGATACTTCAACTTTTACCAGAGTGTTTTTAAACTGCAGTATCTATACTTATGTGTGTACTTTTAACACCACTGGTGTAGAGTGTGAAGTAAAGTATCTGATCAATGCTTTACTCAAACTAACAACAAATGAATTAAACTGTTATGTTGATTGCAGGAGAATATACAGATTTCAATCATATTAAAATGATTTGGGAGTGTTGAATGGTGTGTTTGAATTACAAGTTTTACAAGTTTCAGAGTAGGCTTCATCCGTCCGTCCGTCCGTCCGTCCATCCATCCATCCATCCATCCATCCATCCATCCATCCATCCGGTGTTCTGCTCATGTTTTCAGACTGTGGGAGAAGCCTGAGAACCCAGAGAAGGAACACAGAGAACTTGCAAAAGAACCCAATGCTGGGTTTCAAGACCTCCTTTTTTGTTTCCAGACCAATTTTTTTTTTTGTGTCTGCTTTATCAGTGTTTTATTTTCATTTAAGATTAAGATACAATCCTTGCTTCCTTTTTTCTTTTCTTTTTATTTTGGAAGAATGCTGCTTTAGGTTAAATGGGGGAAAGAGTTTAAACACAGTCAGCTGAGGTTGGAGGATATTTTTAGCCAGGAGAAGAGACAGAAACAGAAAGTAATGAACCCATCCTCACTGCTTTGACCCAATTTTAAAAGCCTCTCCTCTTTATAAATACTTTCATCTTCATTTTATCATACATATCCCTTCCTTTACAATAATAACCCTATTGTGAATGTGTAAAATCTCTTTTGTTTTAGTCCCGTCACATTGAGATATGCAGAGACATATGTGTGTGTGTGCGCCGGTCAGCTAGGGGGGGGGGGGGGTTAACGGCAGAGAATATAGGTAGATAAATAAATCTCCTGCTATTCCACATCCACCCACAAAACCCACATCACCCCCACTCATTTTATCCAGCTGAATTAATTTGATACTATTTTTGAAAGTCAGTGTTTCTAAGGGATACCTAATGACGCAATGACGTCAATGCAGGTCAATAGCACACTGCTGGAGAAGAGGGATAGAGAACGGGAGGGAAAACACAGAAAGACGGTGAGAGTAAGATGGAGGAAAGGTTGTAAATGATTTAAATCCCTTCCCTGATTAGTGTAAAATAATATATCCAGAAAACATTTTTTTTTTCCATTTGAAACCCAGTTGTGCGTCTATCTGTTTCCCCCATTTTCCATCAATGCTTTCAGCATGACTGGAAGTCACACAGCACACACAAAAAGGCAAGAAGAAACGTCGAGCCGAAGACTGAGCGTCTGCATTGGTAGATGAGTCGTGTTTGCGTCTCTCCACATGCGTAAAGCTCCTTGATTTGGCGGGACCCCACCATCCGCTGAGCTCCACTACTTTCTGCGTTTCTCCAACCAACGCCGCCTGTAGCCCCTCCCAAGCAAACTCAGCCCTCATTAGAACAGACTCCTTCAAATCATAAATGGCAACCACAAATATGTCAGTTTACCAAAGAACTGGGAGACGGCGCACATCCTGACGCGGGGGGTGGAAAGATGATGCGGGGCGATCCCGCGTTGCCATATTCCGTTCTGTCTCAGCCTACAAACGGCATTTACTTGTAGAAAAAAAAAAAAACCTAAATCTGAAAGGTAAGTACCTTCGTTTGTGGGAGCAATATTGGATGTTTGAAGTAAGAGTGTGTATATATTGCTAATTCTAAAAACAAAACGGGCTGTTAAATTAGTACTATCAAGTTTTATTCCGCTTTTCTTTTGAACTAGGATTTATTTAATGATAACCTTGTCCATCTCTCCTAACTTCAAATTACATTCAATTGCATTTCCTTCAAGAGTTTCTCTCTTACATTATTTCTCAAATTTCAAAACACATCTCAGCAGTTTGATAGGTCACTATTGAAAGTATTTTTTATTACAGAGAATCCACGACGTTATGGGAGCCTTTCATTTTCAGCGAACAAGCTGTTCAGCACCAAGAACAGTTCCTATCACTTTACCTCAGTATCTTCCCGGTCGTTTTCTTTTGTTCGACACATTTTTAGGATTGATCATTTGAAACGGTGCAACAGTTGATCCGTGTTTTTATCGGCTCAGGGTTTGGACGCATCAGTGGGCGCTAAACTTAAGGTCGTTCACAACTGTTTTATGTCTGCTAACATGAAACAATTGTGTTAAAGTAACTGAAAAATGATTAATTAAATGCCAAAAGCGGTTGTATTGTTTTTTTCTTCTTCCTAAAAGTGCTTTATGGCATTTAAGAAATGCTAAATTAATCTCCAAATCATTATTAAAAAGAAAAGGGTAAAGTTTAAAAGGGTTTGATATATAATACATAATCCACTATTAACAATAATACAGGCTATGTTTTTATTAACACTATTTAATAAAAACGCTAATTTTAAGGAAAACTTTCAATCTCTATAAACAGAAAAGTGAAGCCAAATTTTGTTTCGATTTCGTTTCTTGGACCTGCAAGAAGATCTGTTTGAAACTGCAGTTAGATCTTCAATGAAATATTTTATCATCATTATCATAATATTTTGGTTGTTAAATATTTTTATTGAGGCTGATATAAAATAAATCTAATTTAATCTGTTTTTAAGTTTATTACATCACCCTCTCATGAGTTTTTCTATCTCATGTCTTCCATTTTCATTCAGACTTTTGCTTTTGGCACGTTAGGTCTTCTATAAAAATGACGGATTATGATCCTCGGTTTAAACTAAAGTAGCCTAGTTGGCAGCCCCTTAGGAAACCTTCGATAAGAAGCTGCAGTCGTGCTTGAGTGAGTGTAATAGGTCGGAATTTTGCTGCTTGGGTGAGACATTTAGATGGGGGGGTTCTTTTGGGCAGCAACTTGGTATTTTTTTTTTTCTAAGGTGGGATGGGTTTTGAATAAGGAGCTATGGTCCTGATTTTGGCGGCACCTACAGGTAATAGAGGCACACTGCGCTGTGGAGATTGACTGGGTTTCAAACTGCTGTTCTAATGAATGATGTGAGCCAAAGAAAAATTATATTTATATTTTTAAGGTCTTTTATTTTATGTATCAGCGGTGATTTGTGATTATGGCATAGGTATATGTCATAATAGGCAGATATTGTTATTATTATTATGTGTCCCCGTGCGTACACGCACGCGCCAGCGGTCACGGATATACAGTTGGCCCACAGGCAAGGATAAAAATAGCACAAGCCGATGCGACGGGCGCAGCCCTTTTCCTCTACCAGATCCCATTTTCCCCCTTAGGTTTTCACAAAGCGGAGCTTCACCACAGATTGATTTCCCTTCTATGGCCATCATTGTCCTCTCGTGTTCATGTCCACGCAGTGTGCACGTGTAGATGGACGGAGTTGTTGTGTGGAGAACGTCTCACACTGAATGATAGAAGGCTGGGGTGATAGACAGAACATCCAGTGATAGGAGGTTTATTTCTGCGTATTTGCTCGGACGTTTACGCACCCTGTTCCGCGGGGGTGTCATGCGTGTGGAGCTGCCTCAGCTCACCGTGGCTCTGTCTGTGGTTTTACCCGCCAAATGCACTGGATGCTGGGATATAAATGATCCAGGACCAAAACAGCATCAACACTTGGATATACAGAGAAGTGGTTGGGAGGGGAGAGACGGGAGAGGGAGGGGAGAGGAGGGTCGCTGGAAACCCAGATGCTCCAGCCTTTGAGGAGGGATTTTACCTGGAGATAACCTGCTCCAAAAATGTGTAGTTTCCAACGAATCTTTGACACATTAGCCGATCTTCTCATTTATTTATTTCTCCCTATCCATGGCACAATTCGGATATAGCCGAGCGCAGAGAGACAGTCTTTAATCAGGCTTTACGGGCTGGAAAGTGAGAGAATCTAAACGTGACGTCAATGCCTAGTAACTGACGCAGCCCTTCAACATAAAATGGCTTTTTACTCATTTTTTTCTCCATCTCCTATCGTCAGAAAAGCTTAATTACTAGATTTTACAGTGCTCCGTCAACTGCAGAAAGAAAAAGAAAATCCCTGCAAGCAGTGCCGGGTAGGCCTTGCTCTTCAATATTTGGACACATTTAGCGTTCACGAGTTTTGTGCTGAAGTAACACTGGGACCAGAAGCTTCTGAAGAGGGCGACAACACCTCAAACATAGCCGATGGTAGTGGCAGTGTCCAGATTCTAGTTGTTAGGAAGGAAAGTGGCGTTTAAAGGATCAAACGGACGTTTTTTTGTTTGTTTGTTTGTTTGTTTTTTTTTTTTAAGACACTGCAATGATGCAACGGATGAGGACTCGACGCTCTTAAGCAGAGTTGGAGAAGCAGTAAAAGATATTTTTATTACATGGTGCACAACATGTAACGATTCCAAGCAATGCGTTCGTGAGTGTTGTTTTGTTTGTTTGTTTTTTATTTTTTTTATTAAAAAAAAAATGTCACTGCTAAAAATAGAATCAAAGTTTTGATCTTGCGCCAGAAATAGACAAACGGCTTTCACTTATGAGAAAAAAAAGAAAAAAAGGGAGGCGATCCAACTTGGACGTGCCACTGTAAGCCTTTATGAAAACAGCTCTGTGTGCGCGTGGAGAAGGAGGCTTAATCTGTTGCATTTTCCCTGCCTTCTGCTGCAGCCTTTCTCTAAAAATCTTAATGTTTTTTCTGTGCATCTCCCCCATTTTCTTCGAAGTTTAGAGCAAGGACGAGCCAGAATTACGGTGAGAGAGGCACCTGCACACGCAACGTTGAGTCCCCTCTACTTTTGTGTGTGTATATATTTTTGCTGTGTATGTGTGTAAGTGCATGCTTGCCGGTGCCTGATCTGCTTCTTTTCCTTTTTGCTCTGCCTTGCCTCCCGGTCGCTCGGATATCATTACTTAGGGATTGCTAGAACAGCAAAAGCAGTCCCTCCGGTAGATTTGGAATCACCATTTCAGTAAACAAGCTATAGTAAGAAAAAAAAGTGTCTTTGTTTGCTGAGTCTCAATTACCCCCTCCCAATTTCTATTCATAACCGTGAAAGCGAGGGGGGACCCTTCTCTGATTAATGCTCAAGGACGACTTTCCCATCGTTTTAAATCTTCAATTTTTATCCCGACTCCCTAAAGAAGAGCCGTACTGACAGTAAAAGGTCGGAAGAGGAGGAAGTGAAGGAGCTGTTGCTGCTGCAGAGAGCCAGGCGCACCGCATGGGGAAACCCGGTAGCTCTCCAGCAGCAGTGGTGCTGTAACTACACCAAGTGGCAGTAGTGGGCTGTTGCCGTGCATGCGTGTATGTGTGTCTCATTATATGCACGTGTGTGAACACTAGGAGTTGGTGTTGTTTTGGCACTGCTGGGGAAACCAGAGATTTGTTCCTACTGAGTGAATCCTCGTTTTTGAGAGGACTATGGGAACCATAAAATGTTTCGTAGATAACAAATGGAAGACATTTATCAAGAAAGAAAAACAATAAGTAGCGCTCTCCTCTGATGTAGAAGTAGAATTCCCTCATCTGAGGCGGCATGGAAGACGAAGAGGCATGGACAAAAAAAACCACAACGATCTGGATAAGCTTTTCTTCTCACATTAGTTTTGTGATCCTCCACCCCCCACCTGTGTCCGATCAGCTCATTAAAACGCCAGATTTACCCCACTCTTTTCATCGCACCTATTTTTGCAGTTGGAAGAGTTGAAATGATCTGTGTTGACGTAGTTATGATAACTTCGCTTCCTCACGAGCGGAGGGCGCGCACGAGTCAGAGGCAGCAGCTTTACGCCGTGCTGCTGTCTCCTTCCTCTGGAAGGGATCATCCTTTTCGGTTGTGATGGAGACACTGTGACGCCTGTCTGCAGAGCTCTGCAGCCCGACTGGAACAGCGGATTGTGCGCTTTCCTGCAGCTGATGCTTGAACAAAATGTTCGCTATTTTGCGTGCAGGAAACCGTGTAACAGAAAATGAGTTAAACACACACACACACACACACATATACAGACAGACAAGCGGTTGTGTTTTCTCGCTAAACAAAATCCATCTTTCCACACGTTACTCCACCTTTTGAAAACCCAGACACACATTAACAAACAAAACAAAAGGAAAGACTAAAACACAAAAGCGCTCCGTATCCGTCGTCGCACAAAAACGGGTCCATATGACCAGAAAGGGTAAATCTTGTTAAATATTGCAACAAAAAACGTTTAATTTCGATGGAAACAACACGGATTCCCGAGTCGTGACTGCCAAAGTGAGTGATGTGCGCGTTGGCTGCGTCAGGAGAGGCAGTCACTGTGCATTGCCGACGGTAGGGGGAGAGTCGTGACTGACTAGGCTGCACATAAAAAAAATAAATAAAAAAAACGACCACTCGATTTAAAAACAGAAAAAGAAGAAAGGAATATTTAGAAATAAAACATGGGAAGACGACAAACACAGCATACACACAACTGGAAGGGGGTTCAGTTTATGGAGGGGTGGTGGGAGGAAAGGTGGAAGGGGTCTTGCTTCGGTGTTCTGGGTGGGATTTGGGTTAGGGAGCTTCTCATCAACAACCCCCCCCCACACACACACACACACACACCCCACAACCTAACAACAGTCCTGAATATCAGCTCTCTCCCTCCACAGGTTGTTTTTAAGCGAGAGCCCTGCTGATTGTTGGTATGCTGACAGTCTTTAGCAAGTTTCATCAGTGACCAGACCAGAGAGAGAGAGAGGGGGGGGGGGGGGGGGGGGGGGGTAAGGGAGTGAAAGAGAGAGAGCAAAAAGAAGGAGCAAGGGGGGATAGTTAGGGAACAATTTCGGGTATAGGGGGTCCGGGGATAAGGGTTTGGGAGGGGGTCTAGTCCAGATCATGACATTGGCCTCTATCTCAGTAACTTTTCCATCAGTAGTTTCATTATTTTGTGAACAGAAGAAGAACCAGGGTGAACATACAATAGCTGCATCTAAAAAAAAAAAAAAAAAAAACTACGAAAACAAAACAAAACATCAAACTAATTGAAGTGTTGCAGGAACAAGTAAAATTGAGGTAAGTTCCACTTTTTAATTTTTCCTTTGACTCACTTAACTTTGAAATAACACATAGAAGGAAGATCTGAATTGAACGGCCTGTGCGTGTGTTTGAGAGGAAGTGGTTCATGGTCGTGTTGAGCTCCTCCTCCTCTTGAATGTGCTGTTCTGGGACTCGCTGGTTTGAACATTGTTCAGTCCATTCTTCCTCAGTAAACCGTTGCATTGCGCTGCAGTGTTGACTTGATTTCCAAACACTCACCTTACCCTCATCGTTCCGCGCAGAGTCTGCATTTGGAGTTCCTCCATCAGGAACCCCCCATAGCGGCTTCCCTCTCGCAGCACCCATCTGGATTTTGCAGCTGTAGGCAAACGTTTAGTGAATAATTCTTACTCTGTGCTATGCTGGAGAGCAGTAGCAGTAAAATCCTGCTTGACCAATATGAAGTTACTTCCTATTAGACTTGTTTACATTGTTCGCCATCACTGCTTTTGGCTGCAAGGGTTCTTTATGAATCCTGTCTCGGAAGTGGGCTATTTCTGATGATCACATATGGTGTTTATTGTTTTGCTCTTCATATTTACTCGTTTTCACTCATCGTGATTCAGTGTCAGATTGGCAATCCTGCTGGATCCCCCACAAACCAAAACAATGCAAGCAAAAAACACAGATATTCAACGCGCATTTGTTTTGCATCAAAGCATGAAAACCAAAATATACACTTACTGATATAGATTACAGTTTAGTTAGTCGTCCTTTCCCCCATCATTTTTTTTTTCAAAAAGGGGGGTCCCTATGAGCGAGGCACCGATTGGAGGATGACGAGAATTAGTTTGCTCCAATCAGATCCCTCCCTGCTCTCTATTTATTGCTAGCAGTTTACAGCCTGGTTCCCTCCTCATCCAGAGCTTTAGCGGCTGCAGACAGCCAGCGCTTTTTACTTTACAGGGAGCGGATAATATTACACACACAACAACAAAACGCATCGGTGCACAGCTCATTGCGATCACACGGGTTTTGCACAGAATTGCGTTTGGCTGTGGGGAGAAAATTAAAAGATATATATATATATATATATATATATATATATATATATATATATATATATATATATATATATATATATATGAATAAAAAATCTACTTGGATGGGGGTGAAGAGACGCGAGAGGATGATAGAGGACAATTCAAACTGGAGAAAGGAGCGTAAGGACCTTGGACAGATCTCAGTTGCAGCAGCAATAGTCGGAGACACATCTTTCCTCTCCCCCTACCGCCTTTTCATCCTCTCCTCCTCCTCCTCCTGGTACACGTTGGAGGAAATATAAGCAGCGGCTCGCTGAAAGCTGGAGATACAATCGACTAAGCCGGGATTGGAGATACGGGAGAGCGGGGCTACCCGGGTGTCACGGAGTGCAGCAGCTGATAATGTCCTTCACGAATCTTTTTGCGGTCTGGGCTTGCTGTTCATTACTATTAATCTGGGAAGCCCTTACCCCAAAAAGCATTTGCGGAGGGCGCAATCGACGCGCCACGAGGTTCTCAACGCAAAGACAGGGGTCCACTAGTGGAATTTTAAAATCGTATTTTTTATGGACTTTTCTAATTTTCCTTCCAAGAATTCAATTTTGATAAATTGTTGTCGGTATTTACCCTGTCAATTAAAATAACAGTGGAGTTTTTATCAAGGTTATTTTAGAATCTAAACATTTACATGTGTCTCCAAATCTTTTTTTTTTTCTTCTGTTTTTTGTTTGGGGTTTTCTTAATTGTCAAATACGACAAAGCAATCTGCCCTACGGGCTTATACAATTTTATATTGTTCTTTTGTTGTCAAAAAACGTCATCGGACCCCAAACTTGGACCATGTAACACCAAGTCACTCCCTTAACCAAACACCTCCCACCCTCCCTTCACACTTGGTCCCAAACTAAGCAAAAACAAAATAAATAAATAAATAAAGAGTGCCAGCAGAGCGAGTTTTAAACACATGGAGACCCGTTCACGTTACACGTGGAGGGTCGAGCTGAGGTGTCACTTAATTCAGAAAACTCCTCTACGACATATACCACCTGATTCAGAAAGTTTACTTTGGGAATTCCACACATGACCGGTCCGACGCTACTGTTGGTGAAGTGCACGATGTAAAAGGATTCCTCCAAAGTGTCCATCCTGACGGACACTTTGGAGGGGGGTTAGAGCTGCTTCACGCCTCTCGTTAAACACTGATCGTGGTGATCCAAGCAGCTTCCTCCTTTACGCACACCCCATCTCTGGAAACACACGTGTCTCATTTCCAAGTTTATGAAAAGCATCCATTCCCTTTAAAAGACCACATCCTTCTAGCATGACGCTTCTTTTCCAACCCTTTCACGTACAAAAAAGAAATAACAATAAAGAATAACATAAAATAAAAATTGACCAAAGTCATGTTTGCAAAATCAACTCAAAGCACTTCCATTCCGTAAAACAAATTAAAAAGTTTGCCTTCTTAAGCAATACTGTAAAGCAACAAATTACGCAGACAGAAGTATTCAGATCGGTGAAGATAAATGAAAGACGTGACGTTTAACACATTAACCAGAAATAGCGAAAACAGAAAGAAAAGACCCAGAAAAGTTTCACTTGGAGGCAAAAGAAAAGGATGAACTTCAACCCTGAGTTTCTGTTTCATCAGCTGTCCCACTAAGTTTCATACATGCGCTGTTTATGAGACTCCCCCCCTCCCAAAAAAAGATGATAATAAACAACATATATAATGTTTACAGTAAAACAAGCAATGACAAAGGGACCAAAAGAATAGCAAATATCGCTGTAAATCAGATCTTTCGCTTCACGAACGTTCAACTTGGCAACAAAAAGAGTAAACAAAAGAAAAAAGCAAAAACAAAAACGTTTTATCTGAGTGTGACGGAATGGAGGAATAGACAGGTATCTCAGTTGGAGTTTGTTGGAAATCGTTGCGCATTGTGTGAGTTTTCAGGAGAGTCTTCGTTCTTCTTTGTCTGCTGCTTTATTGGCAATAAACTCTAAATGTTCCAAAAGGTTAAAAAGCGGCCTACCTGCTATCATTGTTCATGTAAAGAAAAAAAAAAAGAAGAAAGAAAGCCGCTAATAATTCATACAGAGAAACGCACTGAGGTTATGCAGATTAAATAAAACCCGACCTCTGACCTAAGAATAGGCCTTTAGATTTCTTTGCATTGTTGGCGCCTAAATCGAGGAATAAAACGCTTTCTGTAACAAAACGGGAACCTGTCTGGCTGTAGAGGGGACTGGTGCTGAAAGGGAGGCGTCGTTTTGACTTTGCGTTGCGTATTTCTTTCAGCTCGGCGCGTAATGAGGGTTCCAGGTTCACTGTCATTAAGTTGCAATGCTCTCCATGCAGATGTCCCCCACCCGCGACTCTGTGAGGCCCCCAGTGTAACTTCCACACCCCAGAAACATGATTTCCTGCTTTTTTTGTCTTACAGGAGAAAACAGTAAAGAAAACCTCAGTGACCTGTGTGGACTCTGCTGCTGCGGCAGCTTCAGCCTGAGGAGTTATCCTGCTGCGCTGCGCTCCAGACAGAAAAGGTGATCAGCGGTTTGCACCGAGGACTGAATGGCAGAAATACCTCTATTTTTTTCTGGATTTCCCCCAACAAGGTAATTGCACGGGCTCCCCGTTTGAGTGTGACGTCAAACTCCAATCTGCTGTTAAATTGGGTTTTGCGTAAAGGCGGATGATTACTGCACACTTGAGCAGGAATTGAGGCAGCAGAGGGTCCAGTGCGGTTGCATTTACCTCTGGTCTGTTCTACAGCTGCAGTTAAAATGATCTAACATCAAGTTCAACCACCTGCTGTGTAATTTCTCCTTTTGCTCTTATCCTGTCTTCAAATCTTATACTTAAAAGTTTAGTAGAAACTTTGCAATTTTTACGCCTTGTTGAAGTAAAACATCCATGATAGTCTTTGTTAGTTTTATATCAGTCTATGACGTTATTCCTATTCAGTCGCGCAGAATCATTTTTTTTCCGCCCGTATTTCATGCAATAAGAAGTTCCCTCATTTTGGAGCAGAAGCAAACTGTTGTCGCCCCATTAAAAAGTAATCTGCTCCATCCAGCCTGATCGCAGCCTTAAGTTTCAGCGCACATGTTTACAATTCTGCATGGAGAGACTCCAAAACGCAGCACCTTCTTTGTTTTAAATTTAAAGCAATCCCCAACTCTGCCTACATCGTGACTTGGATTTTAGCATTCGTTATCAAAATTAGGCAACACCTCTTCTAAATGTTTTCATGTGTATAAAAAGTCACACGTTAACCCTTAAACTTTTAATTGCACATATATTTACACCCGTAGCTACGTCTTCATCGATGTTACTCACCTGTATCAGCAAACTGTGTTTTACTGCACATAAACATAAAATCCCTTAAAAGTTCTCCTGATCATCTGTAGATGTAAAAGGTTTGATCAATATGTTCCAAAGGCAGCTCTTGCATGATTCTGATCCTATGTGGACTCCTTTTAAAACCAAAGCAAGCCATGACAATTTTAATTAATGCAGGATAATCAATTTCAATAGACTATTCAATTAGACATTCACTCTGTACTCAAAAATTCGAATATTCTCAAGTCTACAGTTAATAATATTTTTTCCCCCAGTGTTTTATTGTCATTAGATTGTCACAAGAATAGCACAATGAAATTCCCTCTCTGCATTTAACCCATCCCCTTTGGGGAGCAGTGGGCTGCCACTGTGCAGCGCCCAGGGAGCAGTGTGGGGTTCAGGGTCTTTGCTCAGAAACACAGAGTGGCAGTCTGTGGGAGTGGGGCTCAAACTCAGAACCTCTGGATTCCAAGCCCTATTCCCTAACCCCTAGCCTGCCACTCACCCAATAATAAAACTAATGATAGTAAAATTAATAATATACCCTATGAAGTTGGACTTCTGACTGGAAATTCAGTTCAGTGTCACATATTTCTGCTGTAATAAGTGAGCGAAAAATATTGTTAAAGTCACAGGTGTAAATCATTTATTATTAGTACCGGGTGCATATTCATTACTGTAGAAAATCAATTAGAATATGTTCCCCTTTTTAAAATTAAGAAAAATACATACATCATTGGAAAGTTAGCATCCAAACTCATTGTAAGTTCATCTTGGAAAGAATGAGACAAAATGTTTGCTTATTTTCCTCCTTCATCTCCCCAGTAACCCAGATATAAAAGCATGGCTTTGAGATTTCTCCATTTTTCTGCGTTTTCCCACTTAGACTAAATGTTTCATAAAACTCAACAAAAGTGAAAGTGTAAAAGTAAAAGAAAAAACTGCAATATAGAAATTCCAATTAAATATTAACAATTCAAAAGTGGAAAATGTAAAGCCACACATTTATTATTATTATTTTTTTAACTATATCTACTCTGATGCCCACCCAAGTGGGTTGCTGCCCTGGGTGGTGAGCCACAGTCAATTCCAAAAATCTGCCTGAGGATTCTATGAATACGCGGTGGGAGCAGACGTTGATTTGGTCATGATGTTTAGGCTGGGGTATACAGTTGTATAGTTGTCAATCTGGGCTGTCTATAATCATCATCATCATCATCATCATCATCATCATCATCATCATCATCATCATCATCATAATTCATTCAAACTGTTAACATTAGTCAAACAATCTCATTGGCCGACCTGTACCCTTTGCCATCTCTCCAAAATAGAAACATAAACTGTCAAGTTGTAAGATACTAAACCCTCAAACTCCACCAGAGAGTTTGCAAATTAATTCTATTGACAGACAAACATCCCAGAATAGTCATGGCATCCTTAAATGCAGAGATGGGAAGTAACGAAGTACAAATACTTTGTTACTGTACTCAAGTAGATTTTTCTGATATTTTTACTTTACTTTACTACTTATTTTTATGGCGACTTTTTACTTCTACTCCTTACATTTTTACACAAATATCTGTACTTTCTACTCCTTACATTTTAAAAAATTGTCTCGTTACTTTAGTTTTGAATCATTTCAATGGAGTTACCGTTATTATTTTTCACGTCATCAATACCAAATTCAATCTAATTGGATGGGAATCTACATTGCATTTGACGCACCACTACAAGATGAATCGACAGATTCGGCGGTATTCATTGGCGGCAAATCATTGCAGCTTGGTGGCGGTGGCGTTAGCATAGTAGCATGGACGACGAGATGATTGAAAATGAACACAACAGAGATCTATTGGCAGACATCCATTTAAAATGTAGGCAACAGCATGAAAAAAGTGGTTTCTACTTTTACTTTTATACTTTAAGTAAATTTACAAGCCTGTACTTTGTTACTTTTACTTGAGTAATGAAGTTTAATCAGTACTTCCACTTTTACCAGAGTATTTTTTAACACAAGTATCTGTACTTTTACTCAAGTACGGAAAGTGAGTACTTTTGCCATCTCTGCTTAAATGTAGGGTTTCTGTGACAGTAGCAGCGCTCGCTTTCATTCAGCTGGAGTCCATGAAAAAGCAGACTACCTGCTCCGATTTAAAGGTGGAGCCCTGCAAGATAACAATCAGGTTAACTGAGTCACCAGATCCTCAACATTCTCGTCACTCAGTGAAAAAAATGGCATGTTTTTTTCTAGTAATTTATCTCCTGTTCTCCTAAAAAACAACAATACTTTAATTAATTTTTTAGCAGTACAGTGTGTCTGAAGCAGGAGGACATTTCTTCATAAGTGGCTTCACACACACAGGTGGCGTTCCTCATTGTCCCTTTTTTATCCCAACACATCAGTATGTTTTAACCTTAGATGATCAGGTTTAACTTACCACAAAAAAAGGTCTTGTTGTAAAAATGAAATATTGCCCCAGTACAAACAGACACACCAGGGCAGTTATTATTCCATAAACTTATGTATATAAGAACATATTTGCTGCGTTTGTTGTGTTGTAAAGGAGCTGAAGGATGTGTGTCATCCATCCGTCCTGCTACATTCAGTAAATCACAGCATGTAGCTAAATATCTGCTAACAATCGTTTGTCTTGTTTGATACGACCTACCGATGATAGGCTATATTTAGGAAGATGACGTCATGGTTAAAAGTGAGACCAAAGGGCTTTGAAGGCTTGAGCAAGAAAATAGATGAAGGTCTTATCGAATGGAAACACAATACATGCAGTGAATTATTTCTTGTTTTTGCTATAAATTGGAGTTTTTTTCATCAGATGTTTGTCTATGAAAATTATCCTCCTGGATGGTCCCACCTGATCAGTTTCAGGTGAGGATTTGCTCAGGATGGGTTGGCAGTAACTTCTACAAACGCATCTTTCATCTTGGTTTGATCTAACATTATGTGGTTGTTTTAGTTGTTGATCGGATTTTGCAGAGTAAAAATAAAAATGATAATCCCCTAAGTTTGTTCCTTATTTTCATTCAAATTTTAAAAAAAATCTCCCTTATTAGTACCGCTAAAATTTCCCATGTGCCAGAAAAATATGTTATCAGTTAAATTAAAATGTATAAAGGATCAAAGCTTAAAGTAGTCTCCTAATACATGTAGCTCCTTTATCCAAAAGCGAAGGAAGAACCTCCATACTCCCACATTCATACCTGTGAAGCAGTGATGCATCCATTCAGCCGAATGTTCTCCCTCTGTTCTTTTTTGGGTTTCCTAATTATTTACTGTTACCAATCATGACATCAACAAAGGGTATTTTTGAAAAAAATAACAAACTTTGTCTTAAAATTCAGACGCTCCATATGAGAACGGCAGGTCAGAATAAGATCCACATGGCTGAATGAGCCTTTGACATAAAGGGTTTCATGGTATCGCAGTAGTAAAATTCAAGTTAAACCAAAACTTTCCCCTTTAGTTATTAAAAAAAAAATCCTACATCCGTTAAAGTAGTTTATTAGTTATTCTGATTACCAGAATGTGATGGATTCAAAAAGCTGGCGTTCGGCTTTCAGCAGAGATGAAGCACTGCACTTTTCTGTGTTTCGATGCTCGTTATCTGGCATCAACTAAACAGGATTCTGAACTGTAGGAGGAGGGACTGGGAATACATATAGGCGGTTTCCAACTGATATGCTATCCTAAATATCTTAAAATCATTTAAAATACAAAACCTTTATTTTATTGGGATTTAAATCCGATGTTGGTTTTACACAGTGAACTGATATAACCTCTCTGCTTCACTATCAAATTTCCTCCTGGTCTGCTTTTAAGAAACGTTCTTATTTGCCTGATTCATGAAAGAGAAACTCTCTTATTGCTTTATTGTGTTTGAGATTTTCCTTCATTTTGATTTGGTTTCATCTGTTGCACATTGCTGTGATATGTACGTGTGTAATTAAGTTTCAGCTATAACACGGCGTTCGACAAAACCATAAAGATATAAGAAACAAAGCCATAGTGAACAACATAATTGAAGCTCTTATGTTAAAAGATACAATCACGCATACTTATAAAAAAAAAAAACATAAAAAATCATGCTTTTTATTTCAGAGTTTTATTCAAGTGAAAATTGCACACTTTATAAAGTAGAGCCTGCAGTAACTGTACCATTTAGTGTTGCGCCGATGCCATTGTTTGGCCCCGAGACCGATACCTGGCTGTGCAGTATTGGCTGATACCATTTGTTTGAAACTGAATTTTTTG